GGGAAAGAGACTGTGATAAGACCTAGGGAAGGAGGACTGCGTAACAATATGGCAGCCTGATCAACATTTCTAGCACATGGGTGAAGGGGATGAGAACACCAGTGTGGAGTGTCAAGGTTTTTCATGAATGCCGCTCAAAAGAATACACCATGCTACATCAAAATAGGCACGGTAAAATTGTAATAGAAGGATATAGGAAATGTTAATAGCCCAGGGCAGAATGGGCGATACCACAATCGGTTAGCACACGTTTGGTCAAAGGATCGGCTTCACTTGTCTCTTTGACGAGTTGTTATGTGGTGCTAATAATGGCGAGACTCACTGAAGATGCCAGCGAAACGTCTGGAAATGTACCACGTCCACGGTCCTACTCTGGAAATGATCATGCATACAATGGACTCCGGACTTGGTGCGTTCCTTTAAGTTTTCTACCAATATGACCAAGTTGCGAAAACAAGGTCAAACAACCTCAATAAGTAATTTCGTTGATTACAACTTCGCTTCGTCGACAATCCCACCACAGAAATGTGATACTGGAAAAACCTGTGCTTCCTTCAAATTCACTTCTGCTCTGTGACCCAAGGGCACTTTTGGCGGTGTGGCGTAGTAATTAACGTGTCGAGACAATACATTTAACTAACCGGGTCCTAATCCTGCTGGGATGCTGGGACCTAAGCTAAGTCGAAGCCGCAGTCCACCCTGAGAGTGAAAACCTTTTGGCAAGCAAGGCTTCGTATAATTCAATGAACACAGGAGGTTCACTCATCATTGTGAAAAAATTTAACTACCAGTCCTTTAAGATTTTAAATAAAATAGGAGGAATACAACCCTTCTATTTGGAGTTTCATTTTTCATTGCCTATTACCCTAGCCTACTCAACTATACTCAATATGCTATAAGCATATTACTTAACTCTACCGATAATATCCCTCCTACTTATTCCCCACCTCATTTTATCGTGTATCCGCCTGTACAGTAAATGTATCATCAGTTATTTTATTGCTTTTTTCAGATCGGCACTTGGGCCTCATCTATCTGTTAAAATTATGTTTCTTCGTAGGTTTCCCTCTTATGCTTTATTCATACCTATCGCAATCTCACGCATCTATCCTATCCGGATGTCTTTAATAATGATTGATTGCCTGAATATTCGTGTATGATCTTCAATTTTATGGCAAATTTTAGCTAGGCTGCTTAAAATACCATAGTAAGTTAATGTAAGACTTTAAAACAACTAGATCATATATATGAAGACGCTCCGACCAAGTTGCGAAAACTGGATCGAACCAACACCTTAAAGCAATTATTTTTCTTACTCTAAAATTCCTTCTTTGTAGTCCTACATGTTTACGCCTACTTAAGGTTTTAACATCCTGCGCATACTTTTATCTTACCTTGATGATCAAATTCTATTTAATTTTGACTTTAATATTTTCAGCTAAGAAGATGAGAAATAATGTTAGCAAGGTGTTCCATTTATCATATGTTTTGAGTATTTTATAGTTTTAAGCTATTCCTTGCTATTATTCTCCACATCTTTTGTTCAGGTCCATCGAGCGGTGACAAAAGACCATCGGGAAGTTGCTGTGAAGGTGCAGTATATAGATCTTCGACGTCGTTTTCATTCAGATATGCGCACCTTGCGCTTTCTTCTTAGTTTGGTGCCTCTGATTCATCCCAATTTTGGCTTTGCTTGGGTTCTTGATGATATGTACACAACACTTGCTCAGGAGCTGGACTTTGAGCATGAGGCTGCCAACGCGGCCAGATGTAGCCGAGATCTGAGTGAGCTAGGCACTGGCCAGTCAGATGGCCCAGTTCATGTCCCTTGGGTCGATCTTCAGCTCACTAGTAAACGCGTCCTTACTGCCGAGTACATCGATGGAATCAAGATAAACCAAGTGCGCAACCTATTTATTCTTAAATGCTTCACGGTCTTCATATTTCTCACCCTCTTAAGATCATATTAATAATTTCATCCCATGTAAGTCCGATCCAAGTTATTGTTCTTGCAAAGGTGCTAATTGTTAAGGAGACTTTCATTCCGAATGAAAATGTATGAAGAAGAGATTCGTAGGTCGATCTCACCAGAAGATGTCGGCTGCTTCCCGTTATACCGCAGCCGTTTGGCTTTATTATCACGTTCAGGTTGACGCAGTTCATGGGACATCACTCCTCGTTTTGGACGAAATCGGGCTAAGCCTTCGTCCATCAAATGACAGACATCATTAGAGCTGGAAATACTTCTTGGAAAAGTCTCGAGCTAGCACTAGGTCAAAACAACTGACCGGCTCTATTTCGCGTCTTATATATACTCAACTAGAAATGAATATATCTAGGCATAGATATATAGATAGATAGATACAGAATGATTAGGATATTTCATTTCATATTAGTCATAGTAATTTTCCTTGATTGCGTGTGTATCTCAACCTCTATATCCCATACTAGTCCTATATAAGAGTGATCAAAAAAGCCTAAAGTTAGGCTTGGGTCATCAAGACTTAATGTCCCAAGAAAAAAACTCCCTGACCGGGACTATGTAAGTCCATGAGTAAGTGGCCGAGATAATGATATATATTCGTTCTAGTTGAGTATATATAAGACGTAAAATACAGCCGGTCAATCTTCTTGGCTTTGTGTTAACTTTAGACTTTAACAAGACTGATTTCCAGTTCTGATAGTGTCCATCATATGATGAACGAAAACATAGCCCGTTTTCGAACGAAACGAGGAAAGTCTCATGGACTACATCAATCTGAAATTCATATTAAAGCCAAATGGCCTCTAAGTCTTGCTACCAATATGACCAAGTTGCGAAAACAAGGTCAAACTACTTCTAGTATATACGAAGTGTATTGTAGTGACTTGACTCCATAATCAGTTTAGCTACATCTCTCAACTAATGCATAATTTGACGGAGCACGACTCATCGGCACTGTATCCTGCAGGTCCTCCGTCAAGCCAATCAGAGCGAGGCATTACAAATACTCAAGAGTATTTTAATGCAGTCTCCCTAGGTTAACAGATACTCTCCCTATCGCCCGACAAGTTAACTGTCGTTACCCTGTGGTACAGCGTTTCTGACTGTCACCAACACAACACGTCGTAGTCTGCGTTTTTCCCACGTTGAGAGATTTTCGTCTGTAACTTTCCATCTTACATACAATACACAACGTGACTCATTATTTCTTCCCCGATGCAAGACTGGTATTCTATAGGTTAGCAATAAGCCGAGTATATATTTCATAGTGAATGTTTTCTGATTTACAACAGTATTTTAAAATATTCATTTAAACCCAATTACTCTTCTTATTTACGACATTTGATGCTTGAGTATCCTTCATTTCATTTGAAGAGGTGAGTTGAAGGGACTCGTAAGTTGCTCTTGACTGAGTCCATAACAGGGTTGCCTTGGAGATACGACTAGGTTTGTGCAAATAAATCATCGTCTTTCTGTCCCGCGACCCCGACCAATCCTTGATGAACTTTCGTCCATCCTGCGACGGACATCTTCAGATCAAGGCACCATGCTTTACGATAATTATTCAAGAAAAGCCGGCCACATTTTCTGTATTCTTGTTTGGTTAATTATCGTAAAGCATGGTTTCCTGCTCTGAAGATATCAGTCACAAGAGGGACGAGAACTCATCAAAGATTGGTCGGGGTCGCAGGACCACTAGACGAGGATTTATTTACACAAATCTAGTCATAGATCCAAGACCAGCCCCTTTCGGACTCCGGCGAGACAAATTTACGAATCCTATCCACTCACCTCTTCAAACGAAGTGGAAGGTACTCCAACATCAATCTATCAAGGGATTCTTTGAATAATGGTTTTCTTCATATTTGTAAACGTTTATCTTTGAGAAAATTGTGGTTGGTATAACCCGAGCATAGCCTACAAAGCCTTCAAATATCTAGGTTCTTTATATCCTAGATTCGTTTACTCAATATGGATGACAGAAT